GGGGGGGGGGCGAGGAAATGAGGATTAATTTCAAGCAAAAAACAAACGACGCTACGAAACCATATACTCGAAAAAGCGACGTACACGGGTCGCGCCCGTACGTCTAAAAAAAAAAAAAAAACTGAATCCGCAGCGCTGAAATAACTATCCGCAGACGTTATTTCTGTTTAATCACTTGCGCCGTGTAAACGACACCGCACTCGGTGCTACGTGATTGCGTTTACATCGGATAATTTAAATCGTCCGTTCCACGAACGACACAAGGCGGCGTGTTTTAATTGAGCTTTCTCAACGATCAATTTTCCCTCGGGCGTATATCCCCAAGATACTCGTGCATAGTCGAAGGCAACGCGTAGTGTCGTCGCTTCCCGTTGCCATTATCGAGTTACACAGATCGTCGACGGAGTTAATAGAGGAGAACGTCCAGTAAATTGAATCGCGGCGAGTCGCGAGAACAATTTGAGGATGCAATTTTCCAACTCACTTCTCCGTGCCTGGCTTGATGTAGCCGTGATTATCCGGCAAAACGTGCTTATATTTCTCTCGCGTTTCGTCCGGCAACTCACAGAACGCGTCTAAAACCCTGTAAGCTGCCTTCATCTGCAAATATAAGGAAAACAATACAGGTTTTAACATACGAAGCGATGCAAGACGCGTGAAATTATCCCCCTTCTCTCTATCTATCTATCTATCTATCTATCTCTCTCTCTCTCACTCACTCACTCTATCCATCTCACTTCGTCCTCTCAGGTTGTGAAATGCAACGCAAAAGGTATCTCATAGTGCGCACCGATAAGAAAATCCACCGTCAGTGGGGAATTATTGTCGCTGCACGAGCAGAATTTCGCGTATCTCTCGGATATCTCGTCAATCATATAATCGCACCTTTCAAGATTTCGAATCGCGACTTTCGCGGTTACCATTTCCAAACGGCCCGCTGGGACGTATCCGGATTATTCCGGCGGTACTCGGAAATGTGCAGTTTTACGCGTGTGACGAGTGAGATATTTTCAGCTGATAAATTTCGCTCGGCGATCGCGAGAATCGGACCCGCGCGGGTGAAAACACAAGCTGACGAAGTTTTCGCGAGGAGGAGGAGAGAATTATCGCGCGAGTTTCATCGTCATCCGTGTTTCTCTCCCCCTCGTCGCAATTGTGCAAACAATTAGTTTTGAATAACCGATCGTCGGGAATAATATTTGCTGTTAGAGGAGTCTCTTCACTTTCCGCTTGGATCCCGTCGTGCGATTGAGCCTCTTTCGAGCAACTGGACGGGGAAACTCGTCGAGCTATCGCGAGTCAGGTTTCTCCCCCGACGGACATTCGATCAGTGATACCTGCAGTTTCTATATGTCCATAGTTTCTAGATACTTACAGAGTTGGGCGTTTTCGCGCAGAACACAATAGCCTATACGTCTATGCGTAGGCAATGCAAACTATGTAATGTGTCATCTGTGTAGAAAGTAAGTCTACGAATCGTTATGGAATCAATACAATGAACTACTTGAAACAAGCACGTGAGTCGAAAAATCTCTTTCCTCTCCAGCACCGATTTGGAGAGAAAAAATGCCGCGAGTGCACGATCTGTGATGATGGCACGAATCCACGTATTTTTATTTATTATAAATTTTTCCTACCTGCCGGACGCTTTCGAGACGTCAAAATAAGCATAGTATTTGTCATGCAAACCGACAGGTAACGATATTTCTTCGGCTGAGGCAACCATACTATGGGAATATATCAACAGAACATATCGTAAAACATATCGTACGTTACATATCGTAAGGATATGACTGTGACAGCTGTACAGACGGGCATATGTCAACAGCAAATTTTAATACGATATCTATTTAATTTCATTTCACATATTTCTTCCATAACCATAGAGAATATGGTTGTAGCAACCATAGCGGTTTTCTCCGTGTAAATAGTTACTACGTTCGGTATACGCCGAAAACGATCCAAAAGCCAATAATTTACTTTTAAATTGAACGTGATGGTCGGTTGCTCGACTTTTATCGTCGGAACGGTGAAATATGACGAAATGTGAAATACCGAAGCGAAATGCATTAAGATTGTTATATCTCGAAAAGAGGTCAGTTGAAAATTTAACATTTATACTTAAGGTGAGTCGTTTCTTTAACTTTTGTACATCTGAAAAAGGGCATTCCCCGGTCTGGAATGCAGCTCGAACGCGATATTCTCCGATAACTTGGGTTATTGATGGATCACAAGTAAATAAGCGACGTTAAGGAACACCTGTAATCTGTCCTTTCTCACTTCACCGATAATAAATGCGTGCACGTTTGTGTCGTCGCGCGGTGACAAACGCGTAAGGTTTCACGTAACACGCGGCCACCACGCGTTCTCGCGGTTACACACACGCGGTCCTGTTCGCATCCTCGAATTACAGGTAATTTTACGAAAGCCACGGCGAGAAGGAGAGAACAATGAATCACACGCACTGACGGACGTGTGTCGTTTCTCATATGTCGCATGACGCCGACGTGCGGCTTCTCTTTTACTCACACGGGCGAACCTCTACGGAGATTACCGGGTATAATGATGTATACTATTTCCGGTATACTTTATCGATGGCGTAATATCTCGCTTCCGTTATGTAATACCACGACAGAAAAACGTCGTGAAGAAAGGAAAAAAAATCCGTGGAGCGAGCGATCGTTCCCTATTCCGCCGCCGTCGAATAATCGCATATCGTTGCGATGCGCCTACGGCTATCTGTGTGTGGGTGCGTGTGCGTATGTGTGTTCGTGTGTGTTTATTCCGATGTGAGCTGTCTCAATACTGGAAAGCAGTACGCGGAATAAAATGCATTTCTGTCATATCCCCGAGCGCTGCTCCAGCGCGTTCAGCCGTGTATCGTTGTGTCGTGAGTCTCTCTTTGACACTTCGCGGTCTACTAATTGCGAGTTGCAGCTCTCACGGCTCCTTGAAAATCGTCGAAGACCGATCCTGTGATTTCTTTGAGGAATTAGTGGCGATTATCGTGGTCAGGACGGTGGAATATATCGGAATGTATAAACGCCGCAGGAATGCGTTAAGATTAGTCGAAATAGGGTCTATTTAATTGAAATAAATTTGTATTTAATGAGATCGTCATTTTCGTAGCATTTGGGTATCTGAAAAGGGCCGTCCCCGAATTTTATTAAGCCGTACGTACACACACAGTAAAAAATTTGGTGTAAATAAGTCCACTGAAATCTTGATACCACCTTAACAAGGTGAATATGTTAATTTAACATATATTTGAGTACTTTTTAATATATTTCCAATTAAAGTGACACGAAGACTTCAGTGGACCGTCACTTATACAAAATTTCTTACTATATATATGGAGAATGACTCACTAAAATAAATTTAAAATAAGAATTTTGAACACTCGCCTCTCCGTCGATTTAAAGTCGACTCCGCATTTCATGCGAGAATTCGATCGGATGCCACCTTTTTGACACTCGATCGCAACTTCTTTTTTTAATTCCTAACGTCTCTTAGACGCTTCTTGGCACCTGATACTCGCGCTGAAATTTGGTGCACGGTCCGCCCGAGGTTAGATAAAAAAAAAATCAGATTTTGTTGTACACATCGGCGCTCACACATACCGACGCACGACGCTCACGCGTTTCGACCGTCTTTTCACCGAGAGGAGAAAAAGATCGAGCGAAGAGCATCGATGGAAGAGAACGGGCGTGCTAAATTTGACGACCTCTTTTGGAATCATTCCGCGCGTTTATCTCGCGATAAGCAATTATTTGCATTTTAATTAATCGTCTGCTTTACATTGACTAATGTCCAAAGGCAGAATTAAGATATCACGGCTTTATTAGTGATTTTTAAGTTTCCTTGAAACATCATCTTATCTCTCTCTCTCTCTCTCTCCCTTGCGCGCTTCCCGAGCGCACAGAGCACGTCCATACGTTTCGTGTTTTCCGGTGCGGAAAAAAATATTCACATATTTTTACACGATGATGTTAGTCGATGACGTACGTTTCAGTTTCAGGTTGACAGGGGCTACGAGTAGTCCGTGCGAGCGGATTATCGCACGAAACTGCACAATATACGACTGCCGCCGATATCACCCGCGAGTTTCCGATAGTACGGCGCTCGAACGTCGGCAAGGCCATCATGCGCAACGCGTACGGTCTTTATCGCGAGCCCTTGAAAACTCGCCCGTTCCTTGCATGCAACTTGCGGATACCGAGTCGCTTGTAAGTGGCGGAAAGGAGATGCGATTCGTTAGCCGAGAATCACACGACTAACTTCGACCACTTCTCTCGCAAACGCGCGCACGCGACTTTTTTTCCTCCCCGATAAAAAAATCATTAATTTTTTATAATTAATAATCGTGAGGTTTTGCGACTGGAGAATGTAAATTCCTGCGTGACGCGCGGAAATGTGCAGACGTGTGCAAATTGTTGTGATTGATAAAATTTTCATTAAGGAGGGACCTATATAAATCTCCTAAATATTAGACAATTTTACAAAAAAAAAAAGAATATGTTCTAATTGAAAATATAACGTAATTTGATAATGATAAATAAAAAAAATATTAGTTTCAGCCTGATAATTTGCATACGTCTGTAATTCACGTGGAACTGTGCATAGGTAATATCTGAGCACGCAGCGTCCTTATCGCACTTCTAATTACACGTTAACCAATTACTCGTTTACTATCGGTCAGCTGCTTTTATTGCTAATCACCCGTCTCCGCAATAAGCGGTAGGCGTGATTTCCCGCGGCGAATTCCTCTCGAAGAGAGATTCCGCGAACGCCTCGTGTGCCCCCGAGCGCGAAACGACTCGCTGCGGATAAGAGAAAAAAAGGCGGTTTTGCAGTCGCAATTTGCAACTTGGCATTTCGCGTATCTCAATGCCGCGGAGAGAAAGAGACACCCAAGTTACCCGGGCTTACTTCAATCGGCGTTTGTTCGAGTTACTCTCGTCACGACGGAGCGAGTTGCGACAGTTGCGTGACCGCGTCTGCAGGCGGCAGAAATCGGCAAGACCGACGACACCGGCGCCTGATCAATCAAAGGAAGCCTCGCGATTTAATCGTTTTGCAAGCGCGTCTCCCCCTCGACGTCCCTCTTACCCCTTCTTCATCTCTCACATACACATACTCTCTTTCTCTCTCTTCCCCGTCTCATACCTTGCACTCCGGAATGCCGTGGTTGACGAGCAAGGCCAATCCTTTCTCGGACAGCGCCCTTAGCAGTTTCGAGGCCACCTGCTTCACGACTCCCTTCTGAGGGCATCTCTCCGTGCCTGCAATCGCAAGAAAACGCGTGAGTGGACAGGCGAGAACCGCGGGAGACGCGCCGGGACGAAGCTGCCGTTCGTTTTTCGAAAACGTCCACAACGTCCTTGCTTAAGTTCGACAATATTTTCGTGTGTCGACTTTCGCGCGGAAGATAACGCCGACTCCCATCTGCCGCTCGAGCCGTGGCTCGATTAAAGTTTCTTGAATATGAAGTCTGGGCAATATTTAGTTCCGAAGCAGAATGGCGTCGATAGTTTTCACACTTATTTCTACACGGAGAAAATATCGCAGTAAATTATCATAAAATTTTTTAACGCCGGGCTATAGTAGCATTATGACTGAAATTATGATGTACGTGATCTTTAATGATATATCTTATGTGTATTACACATCACTAAAAAGTGTAAGGTATAAAAATGTACGAAGTATAAAAATGACTCTATAACCCTTTTTTTTATCAATCCTTAGATCTATTGATATTTCAAATTTTATCACTTTGCAGAAAAGATGACTGGTTAGTCGATTAGCACTTTCCGCGCATAGTTACGCTCGAAATGGGAATCGACGGTATCGATTGATTCTGCCATTTTGGCTCAAAGTAGCCGTAATAATCAATGGTTGGATTCAGAAGAAAGGGAATGCTTAGTGATTGTCGCTCCTATATATTTCCGGATTTATTAAGAATCGAGTAAAAATGCCCCACTCACAGACAATAATCAATGAGCGCTCACTGAGCTTTCTCCGCTGAGTGAATCCGTCGACGTTGTCCGGACTCTGTATTCAAGGGACTCTAAGTTCGACTTGGCACACCCTGACGACACCTCCCCTCATGGCTCGGATTTCGCGGACGATTACCGGGAAGTCGCGCCTCCGTTCGCGGAATAGCGCTGTTTGGGATTGGGTTTCTCGGGAGCGAGACGCGCACGCGATCGGTCGAAGCCGGTGATCGATCGGCCATTTCGCTGAATGAGCCAAGTTCATTGACATCACCGCGCGCGATACGCGGCGTGATCGATAGAGAGCGCGATAGAGACCGAGGCGCAAAACGATCAGACAGGTTCCCTCCGATCTTCCCCGTCGGGAAGCGTAAACGAACACGCGCGCATAGACCCCCGCGTTCGTGGCTTGTATATTTTACGATTGCACACACGGCTGCACCGCGCGCATTCGTCACTCGTTATTCCCTGCGTTTTAAAGGCAGGAGAAAATAAAACGAGACACGAGAGCCCCGCGAAGAAGATGATGGCTGTGGAATTCGCGCGACCGCAGCCGCACATCGTCGTTATTCTCCGGTTCGTCACGATGCATAAGGCCAGATCTGACTATTTTTTGATGCCAAAGTTCCTCCCGTTTCTTCATCGGTTCCTCTTTGATCCGAAATCCCAGAATTTCCACGATTACGGGGCACGATCATACCGGAGAGGCGACAGGTCGTCGAAAGAAAACTGCGCGTACTTGATTGATCGTAATTAAAAGTAAACAACGTTGTATGTATATTTGGATTAGAAAAACGCAGCGAATTTGTACATCAACTCGGTATAAGTAGTAGTAAATCTTTAGCTCTAAACACTAAATTGTAATGAAAAGTGTTTTCAACGTTATCGGACGTTGCAATTTCGAAGATTCGAGGAGCTGTAAGGCGAAATACGTTTGGCAAGAATTCCATAAAATCTGCACCGCGTATATATTGAAGTATTATTTAATTGCTTGTGCGATTGGAAAAAGACTGTTCAAAAGGGCTGAGATATTTGCAACTAAAGTCGATACTTTTCATACGCGTCCCTTAAAATTAGCACGCTATTTTTTCGATATCGATTTTTAATATCTTCTAAACTATAAAAATAAAATTGCGGCAAAAAGCTATTGTGACATTAAAAAGCAATATGCAGACATACACGTGGCGTCCATGGATGAAAGTACGGAGACGTAATTTTGCTTGTATGATACTAAATTGACGAGTACGGCTCTCATGATGCGCCACTGAAAATACGACACTGAGCCTTACAACCTCCTTAAGCGTTGTCTCGCGACTTTTGACAGCACGGGAAACGCCTTCTGTCAGAAATTACGTATTATCGCTCAGAGCAAAAGGCTAAAGACCTACCCATTCATTGTAAATCCGGCCTAACGCGTACGATAACACAAACGAAACGAAACGACGTACATCTCGCTGCTCCTGCTGCCTTGTTCTTTGATTATTATTATTTTTTTTGCTGGTCACGAGAGAGAGAGAGAGAGAGGCGTCAGGGAGCGAGACAAGCCGCGTTATAATTATAGGACTGTCGAAACATCAAACACTAATCTTCCCTGAGTGTCCCCGGAACTCCCGTCGTGTTTTTTCCTAGGCAAAAGCAACGTGAGGAATGTCGTTAACGACGGACACGGGGCCGGGCCGTGTGTCACGTTATCTGCGTCGTCGCTGCGAGTAACGAAAATCGAAAAAGGTTAACGACGAGCCTTGAGTCGCCGGCGCGAGGCCATGATTCTTGAGAAAGCGCTATCGTCCCCGCGAGCCCCCGTCGTGTCGTAACGAGATCCGTCCGTGAACGATGAGAAGAGAAACAACGAGCGAGCGAGCGAGCATGCGTGCGTGCGTACATACGTAAGTGCGTACGTACGCATATCGTTCTGGCGATTATTATATGACATTCTCTCTCTGCCGTTCGGCTACCATTCGCTCCATTAACTTTTGTTCTCGGTTATATCGCGCCTTACATAACGTTACCGTGAAAATCACCTTTCGAGTTCTCGTCACGGTCCCTGCGTCCAGGTGAGTCGGACGTAGAGTGATTCACGGTCAGATTTTTCTCGCGACTGACTAATTCTGAGATTAAGAAAAATGACGAACGACCACACGACGACTCGGTGAAATTAGAGAACCGACTCGGTGAATTAAGGGAATGAAAGCGACACTTTGTATGTGTAGCGCATAGAGCGGTGTCGTGCGTGAGATACGTGACTCCGATCATAATAATCGTCATCGAAGAGGAGGGGGAAAGGAAGGAAATATATCGAGCACGGTGCAGTGATTCGATAAATTCCCCGATGCGCTCCTCGACGTCGGCGGGACGTAAGCGTAGGTTCTTTCCGCTTTGTTCCACGCTATTTCGGCGACGGTCGCTACGTAATCACGACGACAAAGTCAAAAGCGAGAGGGAAGGGCCGCCGGCTTTCGTTTCGACGGCCGTCCTCGCGGCATACATCAGCAACGGGCATCTCGCCAAAATCGTCTGGTGAGAAAAAAGAAGACGACGAGAGAAAGAGAGAGAGATGGTCGGCGCCGACAAAGTCGTATTAATAACGCGTAACTATAAGAGAGACGCCGATCTTTAATAATAGACTCAGTATACCCAATCTCGCGATCGTGAGCCGCGACGGCTAGCTGGCGATGCCTGAATCTTGATTGATGATGTGTCCTTCTTCCTCCCTTATACTCCACGAAACGTTTACGAAACCTTCGGCCGAACGAAAGAGAAATCGTCGTCGACACGTGCGTCGAAAACGCATAGAGGCATCGAAAGGAGTCAGACACAATGAAAGAAATGGGGAATTAGGAATGAGATATTGGGGATGAAGAATAGTTTAAGATATTTCAAAAGGAATAGAAAATAAGGTATAAGAACGTTTTAAAGCGAGATTACCACATTTTTTTTTTAACGAACCTCTACCGTCATCGTTAACATTTTTATCGTTTTCCCGATAATTACCGTCCGCTTGTAAATTGATGGAGATATTTTGAAGGCTACATATTGTGAGTGTGTAAAGGAATTTGTTAATTCTACGCAGCCAGTAGCGAGTAAAGTACTAACAAATTTTCCAGTAAAACAGAACTCCAGAATCCCCTCAAGGAATAAGATTTCGACAGTGCGCTTAATCCTAGTTTCCTATTCCTTTATTGCGGATGGGAGCATGTTTGTCCACATGTCGAGATTTAATCCTCCTAATCCCCTATTATTTAACCCCTCGTCCCTTTCATCGTGTCTGAGCCAATTAGCGTTTCCAGTAACCGTGGGACTCGGTGGTTCGTCGAATTACAATCGCAATATTTCCCGACGCGATAAGTCATACCTCATTTTTCAACTTTGTTTACAAACATGTTTTGCCGTTGTTATTATCGTCGGGCGATACGTCGCGTCACCGAGAATGAATTCGCTTCCTCTTGATTTTCAGATATATCGATCTTCGACCGCCGACCGGACGTCGCCCATTTCATTTCGACGGCGGAGCGACGGTTCCGAGAGATCGGTTGTGGCTCACCTCGGAGATAGACAGAAGGGGAAGATAATCGAAGATTAACGCGTCGATCACCGCGTGCGCGACGATAATTACGTCGACGGGGCGACTCCGATACACGCACAGCACACGTGACGAGGCACAGAATTGCCGGGGAAACTTGATTCAACTTGAAAGTACGAGAGAGAGAGCTGATACGAGCGAGACGGCTAAAAATATGCCTGAAAACGTGCGTCGTCTCGACGGGTGTGCGTTACCGGCGAGGGTTAACGACACGGATACAGGGCCAACGGCGTTGACGTGAAACGCAATTTTGCGTCCGTTCGCCTCCACCCGACGGAAATCGTTTCCTCTTCCCCTCCCTCTTTTCCTTTTTTTTTCTTTTTCCCGCGAGCGCGAGATACGCGGCAGATACGACGCATCATCGCGGTTAACGGCCGTATCCGAAGACGCGGAACCGTTTCTAGGATGCGCGTACAGAGAAAATATTCGCTAGTTTCACCTGGTGGCGACGGACGCCCCGATACTTTCGCCCGGTATAACGATCGAATATACCGTTACCGGACGTCGACTCCGTAGGTGCGCGAAATGTAGTCTGCCAATGCGAGTGCGACATTGCGCGCGCCTCTGTGCTGCCGTCGATCAGCTGGCGGACGGTGTGTCTGTTATTCGAACAGGAAACATCGGGGAATTTTTCGAGCCGAGACCGCTTTCTCCCGAGGACTCACATACGCGTCCAAAGTCGGACTTGACATTGATAACGTAATTTCCC